TTCAAGTTAACACCCCAACATTCAGGGATTTGTAATTCTTACATAAAATAAGTAACGGTGGAAGCGTGAGTGAGTTTAACCAAAAGATTATTTAATCCTTTGGGTTTGGGTATTTGTTTTCATTTCAGTTGCTAGATCAGCATAAAAGCTCACAGAATTTTGTAAGTACAGATGATTTTAGGGGTGTTTATCATAGGTCCGATAGATTATAATAATTAGCATCAAGGATCTTGAAGATAGACAAAGCATAATTAAAATCAGATTACTTCAGCACCCCAATGTTCACAGCAGCACTATTTACAATAGCCGAGACCTGTAAGTAACTTAAATGTCCATTGACAGATGACTGGATAAAGAAGTTGTGATATATGTATATATATATATACACAATGGAATACAGGTCAGCCAGAAAAATAGTAAAATAATGCCATTTGCAGCAACATGGATGGACCTGGAGATCGTCATACTAAGTGAAGTAAGCCAGAAAGAGAGAGAAAAATACTATATGATCACTTCTGTGTGGAATCTAAAAAAAAAAAGGCACAAATGAACTTATTTACAAAACAAAAACAGACTCACAGACATAGAAAACAAACTTATGGTTACCAGAGGGGAAATGTGGAGGGGAGGATAAATTGGGAGCTCAGGATTTGCAGATATTGACTAGTATATATAAAATAGATACACAGCAAGGCCCTACTGTATAGCACAGGGACCTTGGGAACTATATGCAACACTTTGTATTGGCCTATAATGGAAAAGAATATGAAAAGGAATCGTTTATCTATCGATCTATCTCTCTCTCTCTCTATCTATCTATATGAATCACTGTACTGTACACCAGAAATTAACGTAACACTGTAAATCGACTAAACTTAAATTTTAAAAATCAGATTACTTCATAAAGGTACAATTTTAAAACATTTCTCTGGCATTAGGAACATGTTATGAGACAATGTGATAACATTGTGGAGTTCTCTGGCCACATCTCAAAGCATGTTTAAATAATACATCTGAAATACAGGGTATGGTTCCTAGTGTCCCTGAGTCAGGACTGCCTGCCCGTTCATTTCATCAGTCTAATATTTTGCAAGATATTGAGAAAAAAACAAATAACCAAATAGTGGAATTTGCTTTAAGACCAGCTGTGTTTTCCAGAGGAGTGCTATGGATAGTAACTGGGTGGTTTTTCAAGGGGCTAATGAAAGTTAATCAGGTCAGTCTCATATTGTCATACACTTGCTGTCGCCAGTTCAAACAAGTGTTTTTGGTCACCTTTCTCTAATAAATTTCCTTACTTTTCAAAGCGCCCCACCCCCCGCCATGCAGCGGCGATCCTGTTCATTAACTGCTTTGTGCTGAATATGCACGTGGTGACCCTCTTCCTAGGGCAGGACTATACCGTCACCAAGTGCTTCACCCATTTAGAGCTGCTTACGCAGCTGCATTTTTTAACCTTCTCATCTTCAGGTCTGAGTGCGGCAGATAATGCAGAAAACGGTCTTTTGAAGTCACATTGAACTCATTGACTTCCATCAGAAGCCTATCAGTCGTTGCAAACATTACAGTGTAAATTAAACCCTTGGAGAGTTTGAACTATGTGCGCAAGTGGAAAGGCAGATGCAAAGGGCTTTTTATTGCTTAGAATCTCTCAGCTCAAAATGGCTTTGTCTTTGATGGTGTATTTGAATACTCAGTCTTGATTTTTCATGGCACTTTAGAATTGCCTCACAAATAAAGAAAAGTCAGATATTTGGTGCTGGAGAGGTCCTGTAAAGCTCAAGAAGACCTAAAATTATCTTTTTATTACTAACTTATTACCATTTTAATTGGTATTGACTTAGAAACATTAATAACATTACCACAAGGATGCATTTTTGCTAGTCATGATATATGTTCATATTACTACGTTAAAGAACTTATTATCTGATTTGCAAGATTGAAAAATTGCACCATGGACTGTATAGTAAAGAAAATAGTTTTTACATCCAAAGATCCAAAGGGACAAAGAAAGACAGAATGGAAGTACGTATGGTCTAACTTAGACATTGGCAAATTTTTTTTCCATAAGGGGCCAGGTATCATATAGTTTAGGCTTTGAGGGGCCATCAGGTCTCTGTATGAGTTTCCTAGGGCTGAAGTAACAAAATACGACAAACGTGGCAGCTTAAAACAACAGGACTTTGCTCTCAGTTCTGGAGGCAGTAAAGGGTAACAAGGTGCTGGCAGGGCCATACTCCCTCTGAAGTTCTAGGGAAGAATCTGTTCCATGCTTCTCTCCTGGCATCTGGTGGTTCCTGGCATTTCTTGTCTTGTAGCTTACAAGGCTCCAATCTCTCTGCCTCCGTCCTCATGTGGCCTGCTTTCCTATTTGTTTGTATGTCTCTGGATCCAAATCTCCCTCTTCTATCTCTTATAAAGAGACCAGTCATTACATTTGGAACCCACCCTAACTCAGTGTGAACTTGATTACATCTACAAAGACCATATTTCCAGATCAGGTCACATTCATAGGTACTCAAGATTAGGACTTCAGCGCATCTCTTTTGGGAGACAATTCAATTCGCTGCAGTCTCTGTTGCAACTGCTCCACTCTGTCTTTGTAGCGTGAACACAGTACATGTTGTATTTAAAACAATACGTTGGCAAATATGCGTGCTTCCTTCCAGTAAAATTTATTTACAGAAACAGGTCATGGGTCGGATATGGCCGGGGACTCGAGTTTACCAATGTTTGGTCTAACTAATTGAAACAAAACTGCAGCAGAGAAGAAGAAAATTCCCTTGTGTCAATCAGTTCATATTTAAAGTATAAAAATGCATACATATTTGTATCTATAGCAACTCTTATTTTAAAAAAGATGTCAGCTTAGGGCAAGAAATGAATCCTTTATAATGGTTTCAAATCCCAAAACCCTATTAAAAAAAAAAACAACTCTAGAATTACAGTATTTTTTCTGACCAATGAAGAGTTCTATGATGATCATTTAGTTGTGAGAATCTATGTAACCTTTCCTCCAAAGAGATCAAGCCTATTTTGGAAACAAAATTTTCCTTGAACTCAGACAAATTTATTCACTCTAATGTAAAGAAGGTACCTGTTTCCTCCACTAAACATATGCTCCCTGAAGGCAGCGACATTGTTTGATTCAATGATGTGTTCTCAGCATATTAGAATCATTCAATAAATATTTATCTAAAGTAACTTTTGTTTGTTAGGATAACACGAGTTACTTGGCGCGTTGTTGTTTTAATCCTGTTGCAGAGAAATAGTCCCTGTTGTCATACCTTGAAATTATTTATTGTCTTAAGTAGAGAGGAAAGCTACCGAAAGAGAAATCTAATTTTTATTAAGAGCTATCGGAAGCATTTATAAAGAGAGTAATGGAGTAATGACTCAGAAGAGGGTGAGAACTGTTAGGTTTTTGTTTTTGTTTTGGGGGGGTCAGATTTGTCTAAAAGAATAAAAAGGTAGGGAAGTCAAGATATATTTCAACAAACAAGCAAAAATATTAGCAACTACTTTTAACAGCCCAGCTCAGCTGAGTAGCAGAGAAGTGAGGAGCCCCATTTGGGGTCACCCTCTGTGTGGGAGGGTGAGGGTACGATTTGGTTGAAGATGTAGCAGGAAGAGCATCCATCTCTTCCGAGCGCAGGCTCCGGAGCCCTGGGATCATTCCAGCTCAGAGGTTCCGCGCTCTCCAGAAGTTAGAAAGTGAAGGTATCCGGAGTTGTAATTTTGCTCAGAAAAAAATCAAGACTTGCTGAAGCGTGGCCGGCGTGGGAGCATCGGAGTCAGCTCTACGGCGCCGGCAGAAGCACAGGAGAGAGCAGTGTGATGCGATGTGACTTGTACAAGGACAGCCAAAGACGAAGAGGGAGGGCGAGGGAGACTCTACGTGGAAGAAAAGAGCTAAAGAGAAGCCACAGCCCTAAGGACGTGGAGCCAAAGAGAGGACCTGGGGCCACCGGGAGTCACTGGTTTCCAGCTGATCGTGGACTCACTCCAGTGAAAAGTGAACTTCGGAAAGGAGTGGGGTGGGTCTGCAGACAAGACCTGCAGGGACCTTCAGATGGAAAATAAAGACGAAATTAGAAAGAAGAGACAAAGGAGGACCATTTAAAACGTGAATCAGCCCCGAGCATCTCTCCCTCTCTGGGCCCGCGAGCTTTAGCAGCAGGGCCTTGTCCCCCCACCCAAGTCCCTGCCAGTTCAGCAAACTCAGGCCAAAGAGACTTGCTACGCAGAGAAGCACAATTCGCCCTGCTCCTTCTAGCGTTCTTGCTACCGGCACTTGCGAGAAACTTCCCCGTCAAATTAGCCACTTGAATTGCCTTAAATATCAAGACAGCGCTGATTAAATTCATTTTCTAGAGAGGAAAACGCTTTCAAAGGAGAGGAGCTGGAGAGAAGGACCAGTTTTTTCCACAATTCGAGACATTTAGGTCCTTAACACACGGTAAGTGTGCCCTCTGAAGGAAGAGTCTGTGAAAAATGATCACGTGTTCAATGCACTTGACAAAGTTTCACTTCTAAGCAGCTCCCAACTGGCTCCATCTCGTGATAAAAAAAATTGTGAAGAAATAATAGTAGTATATGTTTTTGTGAGGAAAAGAAAGGGGATTTATTTGTGAATGGAGACAATGCGGCGGGGGCAATTTCCCACTGCGGAAAATTTAAAAAACATATTGAGACCAATTTTCAGCTGGCTTCTGTTTCGAAATTTGAGCTTGAGCTTAAACTTTTTTTTTTTTGTATTAAAATGAGATATCAACTCTGGTAGCTTAAACACGCGCCTAGAACGCTCATTACCAGCAGTGTGCCTCAACTCCTGATGATGCAGGACATCGACACTGACTTGACGTGTTTCCATTTCTTGTGGGAAGGGAGCTTCCTAGGTACCCAGCAGCAGTCCGACTTCCCACCATGCTCCAGACGGAGAAGGATGTGGTCAGTTTTTAGACGAATGTTATGCTCACATCATGCAAACGTTTTTATCTTCACAGACAGGCCGATGAGAATTGAACCCTGAGCGTAATTTCTAACAGCCAGGGCTGATGTGCACACGGAAGGAATGAAGTATGGATGTGAAGGAACGCAGGCCTTACTGCTCCCTGACCAAGGGCCGACGCGAGAAGGAGCGGCGCTACACGAATTCCTCCGCAGACAGTGAGGAGTGCCGCGTGCCCACGCAGAAGTCTTACAGCTCCAGCGAGACCTTGAAAGCTTTTGATCACGATTCCTCACGGCTGCTTTACGGGAACAGAGTGAAGGATTTGGTCCACAGAGAAGCAGACGAGTACACCAGACAAGGTAGGTCGCTGTGCTAGTCGAACAGGGCGTGCTCAGCTCGGGCTAACGTGCAGGTGTCACTTTTTTCCCTTCGAGGTGACCTGATCATCTTCTCAGGTGGATGTCCTAGCTCCTGATTCGGATTTTGAGCTCTTAGATGGTCACATCGTACTCCAGAGGCGAGGTGGAAAGCTACCTGTAATAGACATGCTGACCCCTCGATGCAGGTAGCGACACGTGTAGAGAATCGCCCCACACTACACATTTTATATGTGAGGCTGTGATTCTGCACATGGCCAAAGTGTTGGTGCATAAATTTGAATCCTAGGTCTCCCGGGCCCCCTTCCAGTCTCAGGGAGGTGCTCACAGTCACTGTTTTAGTAATTAGAACTGGTGTAAGGAAAACAGGAGCTGTTGGCGAGGAAACTCATCCTCCCTCATTAAGGAGGTAAGAATTCTTACTCTGAATCATCTCGTGGTCCACCTGGCCCAAGTGTTTGTGTCCGTCTGTTTATAGAAGGGCTTGCTCCAGAAGGGTTCTGTTTTCTCTCCCAAAGGCACTCTGGGGCATTGAGATTAGACCTTAAAACATCCTAGGTTCCCATAATATAATCCATGATGCTTTGCTACTTGTTGAACATTTTTGCACTCTGTTTCCTGCCTGCGTATTCTACCAGGGGAATAATGACTTCTGTAACTTTCCATCACAATCCTAAACCTACCGATGTCCATGCTTTAAAGACAGGAGCTTCTTCTAAACTGGGCATACATAGGTACAGTTTGTTTCTTCTGATGCAGTCTTGAAACATGGGCAAGATTACTATTAATAAAAATGAAATCCTCTTACATCTGCATTGCACTGTCCATTAACGTAGAACTTAGCTAGCGTCCCTTGGCTGATTTAATCAAGAAACAAGGCAAAATAAATTAAACTTTAAAAATAAGGAATATATTCATTCTTTTCCATTCACCTTACAGGAAGTGTGACTTATAGTTTGATACTGAGCAGGACCAAATTTAAGAAGATGTACTAATGCTGTAAATCATTTAAAAGTTTGAAAATTTCCCATGGTTCTTTTCTTCTCTGCATTGTGGTAAGAGCCACCTGAACTAGATTGAAATGGTGTTTGCTCACCTCAACCCGCTTATATCAAGAAGGCTCCTTTGATTTGCCAAAGAGAAATTTTCCCCCCATCAAAGCATGCCTTACTAATTACAGGTATCACATTTTCTGAAGGAGGACAAAATAGTTTGACATTTTAAATCCAGATTTTAAGGGAAGTTCCGGAACACATATTTGAGATACATCCTCTTGCTGAGTCCCGATTCAGGGACTTTAGTTCATTGCACAAAATATGATGATTCTAAACCCCGATTTTTTTCTTTCCTATTGTCTGCATAGCTGATGTAGATAATCAGGGTACATTTTTTACCAATTTAAAAAAATAGCAGGTTCAGTAGAAGTGCATGCAATCTGAGCCCAGTGTGAAGTCTTGCCTTTTGTAACAAAAAATAACTGTTTAGTGCCCTGTTTGGGAGAGAAAAAAAAAAAAAACTCCGTTGTGGAATACTATTAGCGGGGAAAAAGCAGCACATGTGGCCTGAGGCGCCGAGGAGGCGCATCTCCACCCCAAACAAGCATTCAGTTTTGGCAGAGAGGAGGATGCTTAAACAGGTTAAAAATAGCGAGCTGAAATTTTCACCTCCCAGGCAGCGTTAATCCAGCGCAGACTGTTGCTGATGACATGGTGATACCATTTGCAGAAACCCTGAAACTGAGGTTCTTAGGGGACCACACGGGTCCCCTAGCTAAGCTATCACCCAGCTCCTTGCCAGCCAAGGACTAGAGCATGAAAGGGGCACAGGAGAGAGAGAGAGAGGGAGAGAGAGAGCAGGGCAGCTGGCAGAGCCTCTTGTCAGGAGAGGCTGGATGGTAGTAAGAGGAGGTTTACGGGCAGAAGGGGAAGGAAGAGCTAAGTCCTGGGTGTGATGGTGCCGCCCTTCACTGATGGCCATAAATCAGATGGTAGTAAAAACCTAAATGGGATGCAGCGCTGTTGGGAGCTAACGTGCGCTGATGGCTACCACGCTAAGTCAGTGTGCTGAGGAGGTGCGTGCCCCATCTTTTAACCTTCACAATCGCCTTGGGAGGTGGGTCCCGGGAGTATCTTCCTTTCACAGTTCACACAGTCAAGGCTTGGGGGCCTGAGATCCCATGGCCAGTGAGGGCCACGCTGGGACTTGAACCCGGGTCTGCCGGCCTTTAAAGCTCAGGCTTCTAACCTCTGAGCAGCAGGCAGACAATTTAGTATCATAATTGCCCTCTGGTTTACTGGAGTCAATGTAAGCCAATTTTGAAGGTACGGGTTGAGAGAAATGAGACCAGAGGCATATTTAGGAAAGAAAATGGACATGATTTTGTGGTTTTGGGGGGAGATGAAGATGAGGGGAGAGGAAAGTATTACTTTCTCTTTCCAGGGGTTTGATACGGGGGATGTTTGGAGCGGGGGGTGGCGAATGTCGGAGAGAAAGGAGTAAGGAAAGTCTGCCATCAGACTGCACGTTTCTTGGGCGAGTAGAAGGCAGACTCCTCGCAGGCTTGCATTTTCTTCGAACCTGACAAATGTCAGTTTTTCCTCCTTGACTCTTATGCTGGGGGATTAATTATTTAATTGACAAAGTGTGCTTCCTGCCCCAGCTCCTGACATCATACATATAATAAAAATGAAAGATCGAAAATATTAATAGCAGCCGAAGAGCGCTGAAACTGTTCCAAAGAATCATGCTAATTGAGCTCGGCCGCGGAGTTTTAAAACGACCCGTCAGCCCTCCCTCCACTTCTCCACGTCTTCACTGACTGACACGAGGAAATGCAGCTTCAGCAGAGAGAAGGCATAAATAGAGACCACTCACCTTCCCCCGTTAATGCAATTACATGGAGAATTCAAATCTAGAAATAATAACGTTTGTTGTCAACGATTTAAAAAAAAAAGAGATACGATGTTTTTATTTTTATCGACGAAATTCATAGCCTCTTTTCAAACTTGATTTTAATCATTTTTATTGACGTGACTGACAGGCAGGTGACTGTGGTTAATTACCTGTTACATTTAGATACCGTAAAGCTGAGGATGGTTTCTTCTTCACAGTGTCTGTGTGTAATTTGACGGCATCACACAGAGATCTCTTTGTCTCCTTTTAAATCTGTCCACGCGGTTTATTGGGTGATGGAGATAGTTGTCCTCAAAGCAGCTGTGGCGCTCTCTGTAGGTGTGATGGGGTTGGGGTCAGAACGGCTTGTTTGGCATTCTTGGATTCTGTTTGCTTTGATTCACCTTTGAAGGGAATTTATCCCGTCAGGTCTGAGACGCATTTCTTACGAAACAGCTGCAGAAGATCACCCCACAGTTTGAGAGAAGGGATGAAATAAAAGATCTTTTCTTCTCGGCGCTACGTACATGGCCCGTAATGTTCTTGACCAAACGGGAATGCTCATCAACTCCAACAAGGAATGTTGGCCACGAGGGTGAATTTTGAAATGAGGTGATGTCTGGAGGTGGGAACACTTCTGTACTTCAGTTCCCACCAAACCATAAGCCTAAAAAAAAATAAAGAAAGAAAGAAAACCTCTGAGACGGTCTTAACCAAAAGTGTTTACCCGTTAGTCAGTAATTGGTATTGGGGTTGTGAATTTCAAGATTTTAAAATAAAAAGACTACCATTTATTCCTCATTTATAGAGTGCCAACAGGGAGGAAGTTTATCTGTTTTTAAAATGTGTAAAGCAGATAGCATTGTGTCTTTGTTTATACACACCTGAAATCAAAATAGGTAGTAAATCTGCAAAGTAGGGAAGGAACAGAGGAGGGCAGATCAGCAAAGACAGACACACACAGGCTTGAGAGCCCGGCTTACCTGGCGGCTGCCCGGACAGCTCGCTTCCGGTCCTGGCTCCTCCTCGGTCCTCACCGCTGCTATGGGACTTGCCTTCCCTTCCTGCTCCTCACCATCACTAGTGCCCAGCAGCCGCCAGCTCCCACCCACATGACTCCTCCCCTCACGGCACTGCTGGTCCAAGGCCAGTTCAAGGAGAATTAGCAGGGAGGTCCATTCTTATCCCAGCAGCCTGATGCCTTCTGCCGCGTCTCCCTGGTGGGCCGTGTCTCCCTGGGGGGCTGCATCCTTAGTCCCAGTCCATCTTTTATACAGGATTCCAGATGCTAGCCCTTCCCCTTACCAAATGTAACCCTTTTTAGTGAAACAAAAAGCCGTTAAAGGATCAGTCTGAATTTTCCTGTAACTCTGTACCCAGGTTTCTGGCATAAGGATGGCTTGAATGATGCCTCACCCATCCATCTCCCAGCCACCTCCTTACCTCTTCTGATCTGAGCACTGAGAAGGGAGGAGAGGAGGTCTGGAACTCTATTAGAATCCTGATGGACAAAGCTGATGTGGGTACCTTCCTTGTTGGGCCGGATGAAAGCTGGAAAGCCCTAGTGTGAAGCCCTAGTGTGGGGATCCGAGAGAATGCTGCAGTTTCATGGTGCCAGAGAGAGGCTGACCTGCTTCTCCCGTGCACCCAGCTGGAGCGAATGTCGTCTTGCAGGTGTAGCTGGCTTCCTTGGCCCCCCAGGAGCTGAGGAAACCTAAATGCGTGCATTTTTCTCCACCCTGAAATGGTGAGAGTGCCAGCTGTGGAACCCAGGGAATAGAAAGGCTTGTCCCCAGAGGCTAACAGGACTTGTCACTGCTTCCGAGGCACCCCAGGAAAGCAGCAACAAGCTTGATGGTGCCTAGCACGTAGGCAGTGGGGTAAGATACAAGACCGACAGATCAGGAAGCTCCGAATGCAAATGAGCAATGGAGATGAGAGAGGAAAACCCAACATGAAATAAAGAATTTCAACAAGAGCACTTTCAGAAATCTAAGTACCAAAAAAACAAAAAAAGGCAACAAGAAAACCAACAGTAACTACCCAATGCTAGCCAGGGGAAAGCCATAATTTAAAAAACAAACAAACAA